CCTCAGCCTCCCAAGGCGTGGGATTACAGGCTGAGCCACTGAGCCCGGCTTGGAGCTTGTTAAAAGGCAGATTCTCTGCCAGGCACAGTGGCTCAAGCCTGTAATCCCAGCACTTTGGGAGGCCGAGGTGAGAGGATTACCTGAGCCTGAGGGTTCGAGGTCAGTCTGGGCAACTTGAAGGGATGGCATCTCTGTAATACATCAAAAAATTAGCCAGGTGTGGTAGCATGCACCTGTATTTCCGGTTTCTTGGAAGACTGAGGCAGAAGGATCACCTAAGCCCGGCAGGTCAATACTGGGGTGGTCATGGGCATGCCACGGCACTCCAGTCTGGGTGACAGAGTGAGACTCCAACTCAAAAAAGAAAAAAGACAGATTCTCAGCTGGGCACGGTGCCTCTCGGCTGTAATCCTAGCACTCTGGGAGGCAGAGGCAAGAGGATTACCTTGAGTCCAGGGGTTGGAGACCAGCCTGGGCAACTTGGTGAGACCTCGTCTCTACAATAAGTAAAAAAATTAGACAGGTATAGCGGCGCGCACCTATGGTTCCAGCTACTTGGAAGGCTGAGGTGGAAGGATGGCCTGAGCCCAGCGGGTCGAGGCTGCGGTGGCCGTGAGCATGCCACTGCACTCCAGCCTGGGCGATGGAGTGGGGCTCCACCTCAAAAAAAAAAAAAAAGAATCACAGCCATTGTCCCTACTATGTTATAAGGGGCTACGGTGGTCTTTGGGGGGAATTGCCACCCATACAGAAAATACAACATGGAAACCATGCAAGGAGAGCCTACCAGACACCGTGGAGGCAGACACAGTTGTCCAGGGCACACACATTCCTAGCTGCGGCCTCCTCTGGCCAAAGAGTGCTCAAATCAAATGCAGCTTCTTTCTACAACCAGCGGTTTTGCTATCATATTAGCCATCTGCATCACTCTCCTTTGAAATAGTTCCTCTCGCTTTCAGGAGGGTACTGCTGAACTGTAAAACTGTTATAAGGAGTACTTTAAGGAAGCTTAATGATCAATACGTTTCCCAGCGGGCTGTCCTTACAGGGTCTACCCACAGCCTCTGTGCTATGTCGGCCCAACTCCTGCAGGCCCCGTGACTTCAGCGTGCAGTGGCAACTTGGTGACTACACAGGGACAGGCGGTGTGCCAGGCTCACTGTCGATGTTCTAGCCGCTCACTCTGAATCCTGGGACAGGTTTTAAACACTGCAGAATCCCCCAGTGACTTCTTAGGCTTGCCTACTGGGTTTTCACGTCCCTCTGTATCCTCTTTCTTTCCCTTTCAACTTGAAACGCCTCTCTGCTGTCTCTCCTTAGCTTTCAAGGTGGTCCCCGTGGGCTCTCACACAGCTGGAAGCCCCTCTTTGATATGCCTGATTCAGAAACCTGGAAGCTGCTGGGAGTCAGGCTTTGCCCACAAAGCCCCCAAACCTGTTCACTTTGTATCTGTAGAATCGTTGAAACGTCCAGGATGGAGAAAATGCTGTCGTCGCGCATTTTGAGTTTGACAGAACAACAGAACCATCCACCTGCGTTATTCCTACGACAGCATTTTCTCCACTCTGGATGTTTCAACGATTCTACAGATACAAAGCGAACAGG